ATCACAATTAAAAAAACTACAACTAAAAACATAAATATTCATAAATAGTCCTACTCCTAGCGGTATGGTGCCATGAACGTAGTCTGCGTTTCTTCACTAAATGGCTAATTTTTATTGAATTTTGTTTTCATTTCAACTTGATACATTCTGAAACACAGGCTGTATACAATGTGATAACAAAACATGGTTTTTATAGTTAGATTATCATTGCAATTCAAGCCTCATTATTATATTTTATCTATTAGCTGTCCCTCGCGACTTCGTCCGTGTGGATAATAATATAATTTTATGAGTTTTCATTTTTTTTCGGGGAACCCTAATTCTTATTCTAAAAATAAAAGTGACCTAAGTTACTCCTTATAACATCAACTATCTGCCAGTAAGAGTCCCGTCAAAATCGGTTCAGCCGTTTAGGAAATTAGCCGGAACAAACAGACAGACAGACAAAAATTTTTAAAATTGTTTTATGTTATTTTAACGTTGCAAACACACACTTCAGTTTAATTTATTTGTATGTTTAGATGTATAGATATAGATAACAACCTTTCACTTAAAATTCTGTAGCTTGCCAGTCTTACCAATGCGCGCCGGACCTTAATCTTAGTAGCTTTTTAAATGGCCACCAATTTGCCACCTGTCGGATGCAAAATGTTTCTGGAGTTTTTTCTATACTAAATTTCTTACAACATCTTTAGGAAAACTTCGTTTTCTACAAAGTCGCTACCACACATAGCTACAGTCACAACACTTTTCTAAAATGTACCCAATTCATAAATAGCTTACCAAGCCTTTTCTGTTTTTAATTAAAATCAATACGTCATTAAATTTTATGACATATTGAAGACTCGCAAGTTACTCGTATTGCATTATTTTTTTAAATTTGCATAGTTTTTTTTTTGCGTAAATTAGTCTAATTTTTTAATTCCTCAAAAGAAGTCATCTATGATTTTATATAGACAGCAGTTTATTGTAGAAATACATATTATTATTATGTTTTTTATCTGTGATAATTTTTTAATACTAACACATTTAATAAAGGCATTAATTAATTATTGATTTGAATACTATATTGCTCAATTTCTAGAGAAAATAAACATTAGCGCTGACACAAGATGAATTAAATGTTCATTGCAAACAAGGTCTATTGTCTTAAAGGATGACTCATTAAGCTAATCTATTTCGATTCACAATAGGAGATGAAGCTTTGAGACACGCTTTCGTGAGAGACGTGACAGGATAAAATGACGCAGTTGGTCGGAAGAATATAAATGTGACAAATTGAGTTATTAAGCATAGATTTCTATTTTGTTAACTTTGAAATTTTTGATTAGTTTACATTTTGAAAACATACATACTCGTAAGTTCAATATTTCTTCTTTCATAATTTTTTTTTTATCAATAATTATTAAACTTGCCTTAATGATATCTCATATATGTGGGAACACTACACATTAAATAAAACTACTTTTACGAATTTTATCGCGTTTAATTCTACTTATTTTGAATTTGGCAATCCTTGGGGGAGGCCTTTGTTCATCAATGGACTCATGAAGGGCTGTAATGATGATGATGGTGATGATTTTGAATTTCCGACGCTTCGGATGCTTCCCAGCATGGCCATGGTGACTTTAACGTAACATTGGGAATAAAAAAATACAAAATCTGAAGTAATTTTATTCAATTTAAACTTGTATTGCCTCTCTACTAAGCATAATTATGCAATAACATATAAATAATTCCCTTAAAATGTAACAGCGCAAAAATATTACATAGATACAAAAGTACTACTTTCCTTAGTTTTTACCTCCTCGCATTCATTTTATTGCAAACGCACGAGAAAGGTTCGAGTAACATGTTTCCATCACTCATTTTATAATTACGAGGATTTGAAAATACATGCTTTGTGAAGGCCAACCGACGTCAAAGTTATTTTTTTCGTCTCCTCTTCGAATCCTCCTTTTGTTAAGTGGATGCTGTGGGCCTTGAGACATCTATCTAATTCTTGATTAAGAATCAATGTGCATGGTTACCCGTAGGAGTGAGATAATCCTCATTACCTTTAAAATTTTAATCCATTTTTTTAAATACTATTAATCTTATTAAACATTACTAATATGCCCTTTATCTACTTCTGGTAAGCTTAAAATGCTTGTGTTAGAAGCGGTGCACGACAGTAGTCAAATGGCCGATTCGAACCCACGACCATTCGAGTTCACGGTCCGTGCCCTGCCATTATTTAGGCTACTGACGCTTCAAATTCTTCAATTCTCCGATTCTCGTCACTTATCATATGAATCACAGCAACATTAGACTACGATTTCATACTGGCAAGGGAAGTGTAGGGCGGCCCCCTACTAAAAGGATTGATGATCTGGTAAGCGATGTGGGAATTCGATTAATGCAGATGACTCGGAACAATATTTTGTGGCCTTTCTTAGTGAAAGCCTATGTTCAGCAGTGAACTTGTGAAGAGCTATTAAGATAATGATGATGATACGTTTAAACAAAAGTATTTACTTACGTCGCAAAAACTCGATAATACGTGTTTTACCCTAACTGTAATGAAACATCCACTGAAAGAAAATGATATTAAGCCGAGCTGCCTTTCAATTTATTTGAGGTCGACATCGAGGTCAAGGAAAGATTTAACACACTGTAAAAATACAGTTTCAAAGTAACGTTATTGAGTTATGTCCAGAAAAAAATTAATTAATATCTAAAATAAAAATCTAAAATTAAAATTAAAAGAAATAATCACTGCTATCCCACCTGATTGTAAAGAGTGATGCAGTCGAAGATAGTAAAGCGCGTTAGTAAACATCATGATAACAAGAAATCCTAGCATGAGAAAGGGCTATGCCCATAAAGATATTTTACAGGCTAATGACAGTAAGCTTGAGAATACTCTAGACTAGATGTATAATTTTACCAAAATCATAAACGCGGCTCTTCACGTTGGCCAACATTGTGGCGAATGTTGTGGCCAATACTTATGGCCATCATGTAGAGCGGGTATTTGTGCTTACCTTGGTATGTATTCGAATGATGGCCCACTAGTGCGCCACAGTGCCACAAATGGCGCGAGATCCGTGTGGTGTCGGTTTTTTACAAACGATCAAAGGGTTGTGGTAGAGTTATGGCCGCCGCATCTACACGTTGGGCGCGCGTTTAGTTTGCTACCACCTCCCAGAGTGAGCCCACCTGATTGAAATATTATATTCACGCATCGTAACTAGTGTCCACAAAAACTGATCGTTTTATAGAGCTCTATCAAGCCAAAAATTGTTTGTTGAACCTAAGAGATTAAATTTCTTTTTTTCCATTTCTTTTTGATCAGCCTTTTATTATACACTTTCTCGTAGAAGCAGTATGCTGTGAATAAATAAACCGCAGCAACCTCAATATCCATTTTAATAGATTCGTCCGCATATTGGCCTGACCTGAAGCAAACTGAACGACCTTCCAACGTATGGACGCCGTCACAAACTCGTAGGTATTTTTTGGTTCTGTGTCCCACTCTCTCCAGTCATGTCGAACTGCCGTCCAATCGTAGTCGGACTATGTGTGAGTGAAGAAATAGAGAGTGCATGTGTGTTTGTGCACAGTAATCCTGTCCTGCTTAGATGTCCAGTCTCCGTTGATACTGGCCACCGTGACCGAAATTCAGTCTTGAGGACATTATTTTATTTCTTAATTACATAATTTTTCCTATTAGCATTAAACCCAACAATACAAGTTCGTTTAATTAGTGTATTTATTATATAAATTGCAGTTTTGTTCATTAGTGTTTTCTCTTTATATGTGTTTTTTTTTTCAGGTATTATTGCGGTTTAAGAGTAATATATCAAATTTAATGAAAGTGGATAGCGTGACCTTGTCAAGTCGACAGTAAAGCTTAAGCTCTCCCGCTCCGTGTTCGAGGTGTGCAAAATAAATATAAACAAATTAAATTTCTTCATTTAATATTTCAACGTGATAAAGCACTGTCAACCACGAACAAAGCGCTAGGAATAATATTGTAATTAACATTTAGATTGCATTTAGCAGAAGAACGTTGGAATTCACTGCAGCTGTTTTCTTCATTTTCGTTTAGGATGTAAATTGGAATTTCATTTTGGAAGTAGATAGCAGCAATTGAAGTTTTTGTAAAAGTTCACAATAAACAACAACATTATGCCTTGTGGTAGAGGCGTAAGAGAACCCATCACTCTATTTCGTCTCATCTAGAACTTATATATAATATCACTTCGATTTCGCTCAAAACATAACTACAGATTCGGTAGACGTAATGCTAATTTTCCGATTACGCATCTTTGGTTTGCAGACGATGTGATTATTACTTAGCCAATCATTCGAAATAAAGAAGTCCTCAAACAAACATTACAGAGGGCTATATTGCAATAATAATGGCCAAAGTTGCAGAAAAGGTTAAGAATAAGTAATGGTGAAAAAAAAATTAATTAAAAAATCTCACACATTCTATCCTTTTTATCTCTTAAATTCAAAATACGTGGTAATGCATTATTTTAACTGATTAATATCCAAGTCTAGGTCTAACGCCTACTATTTTACTACGCACGCACACATTCGTAAGGATCGATCGGTTTGCAACAAAGTAGTGAATTGAATCGCACACAGAGGAGCGCGTGTACGCGTTGTGGTTGCCCATAAATCACACTCGTACACTTATTTACTCGTATTTTCAAAACGGAAATAACGGTATATCATTATTGATATATTTGAACTTAAGTTTAAAATTTGGCTACTCTGTGAAAAATAGTCCTGTATAATATATATAAAAATCGAGCCGATTACTACACTGAACAAATTGAAAGTTCATAATAGATTGTCATAATTTTTATTAAATGTACATAGTAAATTGATTCAATGGGTCATAGACACCAATATTTATCTTCGATAAAGAATCAAAGTGTATTTGCGTTATTGCCCCTGTGGACAGTGATAGAATTCCAGGTTACCAGTAAAAAGACCTTCATTTATTACGATATACGTATAATTTTGTAATCCTCATCATTATAACATTCGGGACAGTCTGAGCTATTAAATAATCTATAGTTTTCTAACATGAAAGCCACTGGACTACTACTGAACCGACGTATATTTGCTACAAGACACGCAAGTAAGCACATAGCACCCTCAACGTAGAATCCGTAGACAATGCGGACGTGACTTGGTACCTGAAAACGAATTAAAGGTCATTGTCACAAAAATTACTTCAATGTCTTAAGCGCAAAATCTACACGTCATACAATTCGCAAAAACGTATGTCTGACGATTAATATTTACATGAGAGTTTCTGCAGTGTAGTAGTAAAATAGCATAAGAGAATCCACTGTCTCATATCATTTAGGTGTCAGAAGAAAACTGAAATAGGAAATGGGCAGCAGCATTTTCCAATAACAACTCAAAATACTGGATATTTTTATAATATTTTCTAATCTTATAAAAATTTCTTAAAATACCAAGTGTCGAAAGAGGCGCAACACTGGAACTGAAACAAGAGATGAAGAGCAGCATCTTCCTCATAGTAACTCAAATATAACAATAAACTGCGGCCAACCCGCCTGACAACTATGGCAAAATCCCCCATGTGAGGCAATCTATGTTCAGCTGTGGACTTTTATATACATTCAGCTTTTATTGATAAATGGTTGGATGGAACTCAAAATAATTAAGAATATCAGGTGTCCACTCGCCAGCAAACGTGGCAACTATTACAAATAATTAATATGATGCAATCTTTGGGACCTACGCTAAGCAGTGCAATTTTGATAGGATGTAATGAATGAATGAACGAATGGAACAATTATAAAGATAAGATAAAGATAAAGATATATTTATTTGCAAAAACATGTGTAGATAATAATACATTTGTTGTTTATTATTGGTCTTAAAGTTGAATAAGGATATAATGTAATAAAGATATAATGACTAACTTGTGTCATAGTCAAATAACTAAGACTCTACTTAAATATTGTTACTTTATTTATAATAATCCTTCATAATAAATACCAGTAGTGTTTTATAAAAGAAAAATCCGAAACATGATGTAACTCACAAACCAATCCCAATCCTATAAAATATACAAGCGTCGTATCAAACTAATTCTGAATTATATAAAAAATGCTAAAAGTTTGTAAAACAAAATATACTGAGCACTAAAAATACTCCTTTAAAAATACAAAAAGTTTGAAAACGTCGCACAGATGTAAGGCACTTCTGAAAAGTCAACTACGACAAACTGCAATGTTTCCAATTTGCAATTTAAAATTGTCGTAAAAATGTCGCACAAGAATATCTGTTCGACGGATTATAAGTTATAAGAGATCGGGGAAAAAGACAGAACAATCTATTCGGATCTCTACTGCCAACGTCTAATGAGACTCAGAAATTGAGAAAAAACGGTCGGAATTAATCAACACAAAATGAGTGGTCTTTCATAATAATAATCCCAGACCACACACATCTTTAGCCCCTCAGCAAAAAGATTTTGCGAGCAGCGAGAAACAAGTCTGTAGTTCCGCTGGTTTTGTCGTTGTGCTATAAGCGCGTACACTCAGATCTACACTGTAGAATAAAATAACCGCTGGTTGGTTTCCGGCGTAAGTTCTGACCGTCAAGCGACTTTTATCTTTAATAGCTCTTGTTTGATTGCTAGAGTTCTCGCCGGCAGTATCTCTTTCATTGACACGGGATCTATATCTTTTGTTCGTTTTTTGTGCGAGAAAATAATCGATAGCTAATAGCTTCCTCTTCGACGGCGAGAAATATGCTTTAACTTGAAGCCACTAGATTTAAGAGATGCAGGAAGTGTTGCAAATTTTATAATAATACTAAACTTAATTTACTTGGTAAGTTCCCATGTACTCCTCAATTTGAAAAAACATACTAAGGAAAACCTGCATGTAAAATTAAATATAGTTCTAAAGACACATTATTGTTATAATGTAATATTTTTAATTACGAATACTTTATTTTCACACAACTTAAATATATAACGACGGTATAATTTACTACAAATTTTAATTCCACCAATTACCAATGAGGCAATTGACTTTAATCCTCTATCACTTTATTGGATTTTCATCGTTTTTTATGTGACTAAACATATTTCATCTATCATCTATCAGGAAGTCACTCCATCTAATGGGGAGAATCCTACACTTCACCTACCGGTACAAGGGTGCCACTATCAGCTATAACCAGATATTTTTATAAACTTACATTTTCCAAACCTCCAGTAGTTGTGAACTCGAGCGGAAACATAACAATTTCTAACGGCATTCTGTTCCGCAGTACTCCAAAAACGATCACGCCAAATACGTAGTATATCGCCATTGACAATAAAATACAGTGTTCCAAGCAGAATATTCCCAACATCACCTAGAGAATAATTCGTTTTTAACTTTTTAAAGTTAATTCTATACATTTATACATATAAATAAAATTGAAGTGTCTGTCTGTAACAGATATCGGAATAACTTCCTTAAAGTTGGTAAAAAAACTACTTCGCATACATCCGCGCATAATTTTTACCAACCTTAATATAATGGACTTCCGCAAAGTAACGCCTGATTCTATTAATTATAACTTCCTTATATCAATATCATACACTGTATATATATATATATAATACTAGCGATCGGCCCCAGCTTCGCACGGGTTATTTGGATCCCGATATAAGTGCCACCTACATGGTCCAAATGTGATTCGTTTAGATCATCCAGGGACCCACTCAAACACACACAAAACATTTCATCAAAATCGATCCAACCGGTTTCGAGTTTTAGCGAGATTAAAGGAGCTATAGATTAAAAGTTTTCTTTAACGCTCCCACACTGCCCTTTGTGGGTGTAATTTCATAAAATCTGTTCTTGATAATGTTTAACATAATTTTTTACCATTAGCCCTTTAGCTTACTAATCCGGAAGGAATATTCCTTCCGGATTAGTAAGCTGAAGGGCCAATGGCCTGGCTATATAGCTCGAAGAACCAACAAACGATGGGGGAAAAAAGGTTATCGTGTATCAGCCTCTTACGGGTAGGCAAAGTGTAGGCCAACCCCCACTAGATGGAGTGACTACCTGGTAAGACATGTAGGAAGTCGATGGATGCAGGTGGCTCGGGACAGTGCTTTGTGGCATTCCTTGGGGAGGGCTATGTTCAGCAGTAGACGTGTGTAGGGCTGTAATCCTTTCGCCGGGTAAAGGTCAGCTAAGAACGAATTTTACGAAATTCCACCCGCAAGCAGGGCGCGTAAGTTAAAAAAAATCAACATAACAAAGCTTGTGTATTTGAATTATTTATGACTAAAACTTTTGTTTTTCACTACGAATTTTATCCGTGACATTTGATGCATGAGAGCCGTGATAGCTCACATCCCCGTTGGCATCAATGAAATTCTTAATTGCAATTTTACACGCATAGCGGCAGCGCGATGGACACTGTTTTGCCCTAAAACCCTCTCAGAAATGAAAGGAGGCATGTGCCTAGCAGTGGGACGTATATAGGCTGTAACTTTAACTTTTTATATGGTGCATGGTGTAATGCCTTTGAAGATCGGTTTGTCTAAACAAACAGCAGTTGTCATGTTTTATGAAGACAAATACATCTCTGATGAAGTTCATCAGAGATGTGTTTGTCTTCTCTTTTTCTTTATCAGCCCGTATACGTCAAAACTTGGCATGACCCCGGGCGACACACATTAGGAAGCGGCATTTTGGAATTGAAAGTCAAACTCCGCCTTACCTTATTTCCTGCCAAAAAAATTAAAAATAAAACTGCAAATTAGCTGCCATTGAATACCTTTGATTCAAATATTACATACATTAAGTATTAAAAGTAGCTTAGCGTTGAGGGTTAGCATTGATGACTGCTCCGTGGTGCAGTGGCCTAGTGTTGAGTTGCAGCGCTAAGGGCCGCGAGTTCGAATCCCGCATGGAAAAAATATTTGTACGACCTACAAATAATTCTTCCGGGTCCTGGATGTTTGTCCTTGTTTAAACTGTATCGTTATACAGTTGAAAATCCTAGTGCGTTGGTAAAGTTTTATAACATAAACGATAAGTTCTGAAAATTGACATTACCTGCATATGTGTGGAATACCTGCAATACCTTTTACTTGATAGAGCCACGCTGCAGCTATATTAGTAGTATGGTTGTAGCATGAATGGGTCGGCTCGACCGGGGAAGGACCACGCTCTCACAGAATACCAGCGTCAAATAGCAGTTTAACACTGCTGTGTTTCGTATGGTGAGTGTAGAGAACCGCAGAACCTTTTTACTGGAAAAGAGGCATTCCATCTTAGTCCTCACAAGTGACAACGCATCTGCGTTTTGATTCGCAAACGAAAATAAAGGTAGATGTCCATGGGCCACAGCATCCACTTACCATCAGGTGGACTGTGTGCTCGTTTGTCACTCGATTCTATAAAAAAAATATGAGGACTTTTCAAAGGAAGTATAAATAAATTAAATTGTACTATTCATTTTGATTAACACAAAAAGAGTACTGAAGACTTCTAATTTGAAATTGTTTAAGATACTTCCAATAAGAGGTGGGAGGTGCTAGGGGCGACATTTTTAGCTCTCGCAGCCTTGGGCGGCAGCATCTCATTCTAAACTACTGACTGCTGAAAATGACTCTCCTCCATTATTGAGTATAATACGTTGAAATATCAATGATAGCAAATTTACTTACGAAAAATTTATATCTATGTAAAGCTTGGTTTTTTAACATGTCTGAATTTCCACTGCGATTTGAACTCTCTGAAATATTTTTATGAATTTTTATTGATCTAAGTGATTTGATTATATGCAATATCCTCAAGGAATGGACACATACATACATTTTACTATACTTTTAATTGATGTATGAACTTTGAAGTAATGCAGCGCTGTATCTATATTATCTATCTTAAAAATATTACAGATCTTTACTATTTATGTATTATTTGACTGATTTATTAATACAAACGCTTGATTCAAACATTATAATTGAATAAAAATGTGTGTAGGATATCCGACAAAATCTCCCGTTACCGTTAATGCTTCCTAAATCCAATTTCCCTCCTGTCGTTTTCTTTTGGGCACAATAAATTCTCTTCATTTTTTTGGTATGTTGTTCTATACTTACTACAATACATGTGCTTACATTCCACACTGAAATAGGCAATTATGATATTTTTTTTTACTTTAATTACAAAATAATATTTTTATACAATATTAGTAATAAGAATATTAAAATACTTACTTAGATAGATATGTGTTGGAACAGCCAGAATTGCGTAGACTAAAGCTGAAATTCTACCGCAAATCGTATGAGGTACAGGTGCGCCAAAACCTAAAAGTTTTATTTTTATTTTGCTAAGTATAAAACTTAGAAAAGAATTTACATTCTACAAATATATATTTCTAAAAGCTTTCCTAAAAGTAAACTTTCGGGGCGGGAGCTCTACTATTTTAAAATTCTTGAATAGTACTCGTACTAGTACTTTTTGATCCCTATTTATACGTGGTGTACTCAGTTATTAATGAATAAAGTTCTGGCGAAAATATATCATTATCGCATTGTAAGTCTTTTTAAAGACGACTTCTAGACAACGGACATCCCAAGTATAAAATTATTGGCGTGGCATAGGCACAAATGAAATAATGTTACTACGTAACCACGGGCACGCAGCATTGTGAACCCAACTCGCCTTGTTCCCATGTTCTCACCGTACTTAACGCTCTCCTGGGCACAAATCCTAAGAGCGACTTGTTTACGGATGAATGAATAGTAATAGTAACGGATTGTCTGAAGTTTTGTAATGAATAGTACGTTGTATTTAATAAATCAAATAATTGGTTTTATCGTTGAACTAAAATAAAAATAAATAGATAAATAAATTATCTCGTCGTCAGGCGTTAAAAGGAAAATAAAAATAAATAGATAAATAAATTATCTCGTCGTCAGGCGTTAAAAGGAAAGTTAGAATACATTCATTCATGACACTCCTCTAACATGTGTTCCTCATTCCCTCATTCTGTGTAGGGGCGGCGTAAGAAAATCCACTACCCAATGTCAACCCGTATGTTGTCGTAAAATATGACAGTGATAAATAAAACAGGTGATGCCTAATAACAACCCTACACAATAAAAGTCTGCAATTGGCAACCCAGTCACCAACCCACCTGCCAAACGTGGTAACTATAGCAAATATGAACCCTTTGAAGCAATCTATGTTCAGCAATGTGTTTTTGAAAGACTATAATTAATGAATATTCTCGGAATGTCTATTCAAAAATGGCGAAACCAAATCCCAAAAACTGGTGATTCAAAGCGGTCTATATCCGTCTCGGATCGATCACTAGTTTGGTAAAAATGGGAAGTCGTTCAAGTTATGCATGAGATGCGCATTTTAAAGGTCTACATAAAATAGTGTAATATTACAAAGGCTTATAAAGGTAACATTGGGTAACATAGGTTTTTAGTTTCTTAGACTTGACAATATTGATAGGAATGAGGGTAAAAAAACACGAGGAAATGATAAAATTAATAATTTTGAGAATAATTTCTAATTATGTTAAATTTGGATCATTTGCAGTAGAAACCATAGGCTTATAGGTTTCTCGGTAGATTTTCTAGAAGAAATTTATCCGTGATTGGCCGTTGCCTCTGGTGACAAGAGGGCAGATTTTTTTCCTGCCTTAAGGCTAAATATAGCTATTCAGCGAAAAATTATATAATATAATAATAATAATAGATAATTAAATTCGCTTTTTATAGCAATACATAAATATTATATATATAATGTTTATATTTTATTATTCAAACAATCTTACCTAAAGCAGTCATGACGTAAACAGAAAACAGAAAAGTTCCAGATAAGTTCCAAAATAATCCTGGGTTTGGTTTAGCTCCCTCACCAACGGCTTGCATTGTAAGTCGCCTCTCATCTTCTATACGTTTTTCTATTGCCTCGCGCCATTTTGATGATAGAGGTTGTATCTGTAAAAGTCAATAAGATCAATTATTTAAGTAACATACAAAATATAGTAACAATATTAGGATACTAATGCATGTTATTAATGATAAAAACATTTTAAAGAATATTCCACAACTTTTTTATAAACAGTAGTGACCAGTAACAAAACTAATTTAGATCTAAAACAAATTTAGATCCAAAAAGATTAATTTAAAATGTTAGTTTGTAGTTTTTGTTTTCTATTCTGATATTCAAAATTAAAAACTTATTATTATTTTCTCCATGCCTGTACTTAAATTTCACAAAAATAATAATATTTCTGTAGACATAATTTTTTTACAAACTGTTATTTCTTAAATATGATGAAACTATTTAGTTTTTGGAAAGCTTAACAAGTGATAAGACAATAGATGATCTTAGCCGCTGCCACAAATAAATACTATATCCGGTTTTAACACTACATCTTTATCATTCGTTTAAAACTTTAGTTTTAAAATCTTATTGTATGTCCATGAATATTATTTTCTGTTGCAATATGGTGTAATAAAATTCTTGCTAAATATAGGTTATAATTTAAAAAAAATGTACATCAAACTTTAAGCGAACTCAAGGATAAGAAATTCTCTAGTGAATATTCAAATTTCATTTTCATGAGATGTGTAAATTGGTGCGTAACATATTTTTCCTATACCAGCTCCCAAGGCGACTTATCGAATGAATAAATTCAATGTAATTTGAGAGACCTTTTTTGTCGTTCCAATTTTATATCAGCAGGCAGTGGTGTAGGTCATGTCATACAATGATATCGTAACTAAGCAGAGAATGTATATTTAATATTATATATATGTACGTTGCAGGTATATAATATTGTCATGTATCATTCAATATTCTATGTATTTTTGCCGTAGCTGCAACGTTTCGTTGTGTGGGTTGGTAACCACAGTGTTTTAATTATTTTGAATTGTTATCTTTTTCTTTTTTTACAGAAGAGTTTACAAACGATCGTGCAGCTTACCTGATGATAAGCGACTACTGCCGCTCATGAATAACTGCAATATGAAGGAAATTAAACACTGTCATTGTCTGGTTTTCAGACACAATAGCAAGACAATAGCTATGAACTATATGTAGTGCACGGGACAGCGAAAGGGTTAAGTTGCGTTGCTGTTTTTTTTTAAAAAGTGTTTGATCTTTTCTTAAAGGTACTTAAGTCGTATCGGTCCAAAAAATCAATGGTATCCAATTCCACAATAAGTTGTGCGAGGAAGAAAATTTCTGGTAAATCGCTCAGTGGTGGACCTCCAATTAACTAGATGGTGTAGGTCATATTACGAATTTTGTCGCTTTTTCTTTAAATTCTCTCTGATAACACCCCGTGGTAGATACGATAGAACATGTAAAAGGATGCAACATCTCTTGACAGCGGCAGTGAGTTGAGCTGATTAGATAAAACTCGTTTGTCAACGATTTGGACTGCTCTTCGCTGGATGCGTTCAAGTGGAAGGAGCTAGCACTGGAGTTACCCGGCCCAGAAATTAGAACAGTATTCCATGTGTGGTCGAACTTGTGCCTTGTAAAGTATCAAGGGGTGTGCCAGCATAAAACAGTGTCCAGCTCTACTAAGTACGAAAAAAATTAAGAGGCCAATTTGGCATTCCCGTCCAGGTTACCGTAGAATCAATCGGCATTCAATATGTAAGTAATGTGTAAGGATTCCAATGCATGCTGAGACAACAATGGGAGTGCCCTGAAATTAAGGATATATAACAAACGGATTTATTGTAGTAGTAAACGCGCAAACTTGTGTTGTCTGGGGTATCACTATACGACGATTATAAACGGCACAATAAGCCTGGCAACTATGGTCTTCCTATGGGGCAATCTATGGGGGAGGCCTATGATCAGCAGAAGAATGTTATAGGCTGTAATGGATATACGATACAGTGGTTGCCATTTATAGTAATAATTATGTCCTCCGCTAGTTATCTTAGTAAGAGAGGATTATAGTACCCAATTGTATACGCAAGTACAAATGCACCCTCCCTCTATTACCCACTATTCCCTCACTTTCATAGGAGAGGAACATCTGGCGCACTACTAACGGCTTAACTTGCTTTCAGAGGTGGTGAAACACTGCCAACTGTCTGACTCTGCCTAATGAAAATTTTTGGACAGAAAAATCCACATGATCAGTAGTCGCGTTTAAGGCCACTAAGCTCACGAGGCAATCAAAATAGTGTGTAATAGTTATACGTTTAAACATTACAAGTTTGAAAATATTTATTTTTGCTTTATCCGTTTTCATGTGTTTCTGTTCGAAAAAACGCACTAAAATGGCACTTGCAATAATAATCATTAAATTGAGGGTACAAATATATGATGAAAAACGTTATTGACTTTACGAGACAAGCAATAAAGGATATTGCTTTGGGTCCCAATACGGGTCACTACACTATTTTCACGAGATAAACCTTTAGAAATATTACAACATTGTAGTTCGGAAAAGGTTATGTTTGAATCAAAGGCCAAAAAGCTAATAACTTCAAAGATTCTGTCAAGCATTTTAAAGACGCGTCCGCCCTACAATAGGATCCACCCATTTCCAGACGAACTGTCACAGTCTGATAAAATCTTTTTATCAAGTACCTTAAATTCTGTAAGCGTAATAAATACTGTCATAAAATTTAAAAGTAAAAGTTACAGTCCCACTTGCTGGGCATGGAAATGTCCGCCGCGTTAGCGAACTAAAAGGGAGAATGCCTCACAGCCTGTTGGCCTGACTCTCTGTATCTTTCATACCTAGATAGAAATAGATAAGAGATTAGCACCTACACCTATGAACTCCTAAATAGAAAAGGATTCCTACCTCTTAGTTAAGTTGTTTTTTTTTTACTAAAAATGCATTTACATAATAATTTTTTTTATAGTATAGGGTGACAAACGAGCACACAGTCCACCTGATGGTAAGTGGCTGCCGTGGCCCATAGACATCTACATTTATTCTCGTGATACCCGTGAGGACTAAGATATAATGCCTCGTTTCCAGTAAAAAGGCTCTCCGGATCTCTACACACCCCATACGAAACACAGCAGTGTTAAGCTGCTATTTGACGATGGTATTCTGTGAGAGCGTGGTCCTTCCCTGGTCGAGCTAACCCATTCGTGCTACAACTATACTACTAATGTAGCTGCAGCATGGCTCTACCACGTAAATTACGTTAATGGTATTTTGGAAACGCTATGGTTTCGTTCATAAGACTTCGTGCAATTTATGCAAAATTTTCAGCCTCACACGACCATACTGTAGAATTTACTATCGCCAACGGTTTTATTGGACCGATAGGACTTAGAGACGTTCAAGAAAAGAGATTTCTCCTTTATAAAAGGCCGGTAAGGCACCTACAATTCCCCTAGTGTTGTATATGTTCACGGGGGACAGTGATCACTTTTCATCAGGTGAGCCGATGCTCGTTTTTTTTTCATAGAATAAGGGTCACAAATGATCACTCAGTCCACCTGATGGTAAGTGGATTCTGTGGCTCGTAGAAATCTATATTTATCCACGATTAAGAATCAAAATGCAGATGCGCCGCCACCCTTGAGGACTGAGACGGAATGCCTCGTTTCCAGTAAAAAGAGTCTCCGGTTCTCTACACACACAACAGCATTGAGCTGCTGTATTACGCTGGTATTCTGTGAGAGCGTGGTCCTACCCCGGTCGAATCGACCCATTCGTGCTGCAACCACAGTATAGCTACAGCATGGCTCTACATCCTCTTCTATAAAAAAAGAACAAAATTCGAGGCGCCCTTGTCGTCTTTGCATTTATTGTATATTAAAATTTTCTTCTTCTCTTAGATCAGCCCACAAAAGTTCACTGCTCAACATAGGCTCATCCACTATAGGGAGGAATTGCCATAGTCATCACGATTGGCAGGCGTATTGACAAGTACCAGACGTGACACCATTGGCGGTACTTCTCTTCACCATTCTGAGTATTTCACGTCTGTCGTAAACGAACTGGTTACACCATGACGGTGTCGTCATGGTAGTGGTGGCGGCTATTGAAAGCCGTGAGGTCTTTCTAGAAGGTCCTATTGGGTGTGATTGAAACTTCTACGCCGCAGCCACATAGCATGAGTCATCAAAAAACGATTGTTTCAAAAATTGATAAAATAAATTATCCTTGACAATCTTAAATCTGAATAACCAGGTGAAGACGGGGCGGGTCTATAAATATAAATAAAACTAAAGTGTATGTCTGTAATATTGAAACAACTGGCTTCTATTAAGCTCAGGGGGTTATTTACATTATATTAAGACATAAATAATCATTTTTAAAAAAATTTGTCTGTCTGTCTGTCCATCAATATGTCTGTCGATCTGTCTGTCTGTCTTACGGAAAACTTACGGCATTTTAATTTGTATTTTCTTAAACAAATAAGGGTAACCAACAAGCAAGTACGAATGAAGATGTTGTGGCATTTTTTGTAAAATATCTACACCGGCGATGAGTAGACTGTTCATATAAACTCCGAGACTAGTACTACGTTCGTCAATCTGCCTGGCAGTTTTTTAGTAATTAAGGAAAATCCTCTCTTAAAACAGGAGTGGGACACGTAAATAGTCTGTAACTCTGCTTTACTTTAATGAGCCTTGATAGCCTTGGCAATGTGCATTTGCGTTAAAATTTCAGTAGTATTAGTATATGATAAAAAACAGTACGATCTCCGCCAACATCAATGACGATGTTAATAGCTGTTTGAAGTTTCGGCAACGGACACTTCCCTACTCCAAATATTATTTCTGGACTCTACGTAATGTAAAGTCTAGAAAGGATTTTTTTTGTTCTTATTTCTAAAGTCGTAACAGTTTATAGCTGGTCATATGCCCCTCTCACAATAGGTAAAACTAAGGACTTTACCAAATAAAACACTTATTAAATGTGTAGATTTAAGAATACTTGCCTGTCGCAGTTCTGTTGCCAGATCGATAATAAGTTGATTTTGTTCTTTGTCAAATTCTAAAGCCACCTTAACTTCTTGCGGTCCTAGTAAAAAGTTTAAAATTTTGGGTAAAATAGAAAATTTCTTTTATAATTATACTGTAAACATACACAACACATACAAATGTAAAAATTGTAACACTTTTTAATTTTTACTTCAAGCCATTTAAGTCTACTGTTAGACATATTAGACACACCACCCCAAATACTTGAATCTTTATTATAGAGAACCGATTACTTCATAGTATTCTATGGATGTCGTAAATATCAACTAAGAACCCAGAAAAACTGTATGTATGGCATCCGATAGAAAGTAGAGTTACCATCTTGCAAATGTGACTAACGTAGAGTGGCTATTGATAAATCTGTTGTTACGTTTATTTTTATACATTTATTTCTTAAACGGGCCTCCGCTCATTTCTGAGAAATTAGTGGAACAATTAGTCCATCGTGTTGCTCCAGTACGTGTTAGCGGCCTTTACGTGTGTACCAAATATTTTATTCCTCAGACACACAGGTTTTCTCTTGATGACGTAAAATCTCCGCTGAACACGTTATAAATGGAGTAAATTTGAGCTGGGTGACTAAAGTACGATGAAATTTACTGTGAGCGCTTAGACAAACTGCATGGGGTATGGTAGATATTTTCATTAGTTTCAACAAAATATCAAAAAAAATCCTATTAACAGGATCACAATCTATTCATTGGCATTTATCCACGTTACCAATAGTCAAATAAATAACTCACCGTAGCCGACCCTCATAGTTTAACTTTAATATATCAGCGCACATCTAACACAAATTATTGGGTTTTGCATTTGGATGTTAAATAATACTGACATTAAGTGACTCAAATTTGCAAGAGAAGAGGAATAACTAAAAGTACTACGTCCAAAACTACTTCTGATCTTATCACATAAGATTCACTAAGTTTTACGGATTTTACATAATGTTATAGATTTAGCAAACACAGTGAAATTAATATTGCCTGGCGTTTGTGTTCCCAGCTGATTAGCTACATTTACCCGGCATAGTGGACACCTTATAAAGTTTCCAGTAGTTGTCGACATAATTGAAAACAGCCTTTAGGAAACAATATTTTAGTATTGAATTGTTTACAAAAACACAGCAAAAAGATATTGATGATGGAATAATAACTGATTTAAATAATATTTTACCTTCAAAAGAATTTATTATAAAGACCCAAATGATATTCCAAATTACTAGTATAGCGGTCAATCCTAGCTGACAAAAAACGCATCTAATTGCAACAGAACACGAGCTTTCACCTTGTTTAACTGGAGCTGGGTAAACTCTTAACCATGTATCTGAAAACTTTTTTTAAAATTATATACTAAATATATGATCATGTGTAATGTTTGCAATGTTCTAAAGTTTTATAAACGTATTTTTAATTAATGTTTACTTACCTTGTGCAAAACAATCGGTTTACTATTAACATCCAACTGTTTTATTTTTTTTAAAGTGTTTCCATCTGTATGATGGTCACTTTCATTTTCTATCATTTTGTTATATTTACGCTTATTTGCAACTTCAAACACAGAACGATTGACACCTTGTAAACTTTTTTTATTATTCACATTACCATTAAATTTATTTAATTTCAAACCTTTTACATTGCCGAACCCAGACTCACAAACACCGGGCAATGCGATTCCCTGATTTTTATTTTTAAAAGATTTATTTATTGTAGTTGCATTTATTTCACTTTCGGCATTTAGATTTCTGTCAACATAAATATCATCGCCACGTAGATTAATCGAACTATCAAATTTTATTGCCAATATTTTAGTTTTATCTTCATTAATATGTCTGTCTCTTTTATAAAGCGGTTTCACAAATTTTACTTTATTTGTAAACATATTAAACACAACGTCTTTTCGCATGCTTTTCCATGAAAAACTAAAGTAGATTGTTGTTTCCAAAACTCTTTTAACCAAGGTAGCGTGTTGATAGTCTGTAATTATTAACATCCGGTGGTAAGCTTGCCTACGCGAAGTGGTAACTCATCAAATCCAAAAGCAAAGTTAGGAGGTTGTGATAATGGCAGAACGCGATGTTTTCACCTGATTTTTAAAATTTATACATGAATTTTCAAATGTCGTTCGTACATAGTTAAGTACGATATTGTTATTACTTACTAAATGACAAGGACAATGTATTAGACAATTTTAATAACTAACATATACATATAGTAAACTTGACTTTGTATGCAAATAAATTTAATGATTTTATCGTCACGTGATACCTATTTAACTGAATAAACGCAAACTATTTCATCACAATATTTATGACTTTAAATTTAGTTTAATAGTATAAAAATTAATGTTGCACTATTGACCCATAAAATACAAAATAAGTAATCGCTATAAGAACAGCATGCGTGCTTCCTGATTTTAATCCTCGCCTTCACAGTTAAGTGTGCATTTGAAATTTTCTTTAAAAATGTATCTTTAAAAAGTGAAAATTAAAATAACAAATACTCCAATATACTAAAATGAATTAAATTAATAATTTTCTCATAATATAATAGCCTCTGAAGTCATTGCTAAGTCATAGTAACGAAGAATTAAGGCCCCAACTTCAGAAGCTACAAAATTAAGTGGAATTTTTCCGTCACATTAAAATGTAACCACTATTAACGTATAGCATAATTAATAAAAAAATCATCAAATTGGTTCACAGTTGGCGAACATATGACGTAACATTCATGCAATAACAAAACACAGTCAGGAACCACGTTCTTATTTTTTTTATTGGATAGGGTGACAAATAATTACACAGGCCACCTGATGGTAAGTGGTGACACATAGAGATCTACATCTATCCTCAATAAAGAATCAAAATGCAGATGCGTTGTCACCCGTGTGGACTAAGAAGGAATACCTCTTTCCCAGTAAAAAGGGTCTCCGGTTCTCTATACTCACCATACGAAACACAGCAGTGTTAAGCTGCTATTTTACGCTAGTATTCTGTGAGAGCGTGGTCCATCCCCAGCCGAGCCAACCCATTCGTGCTACAGCTATACTTCTAATATAGCTGCAGTATGGCTCTACCACGTATAAAAATAAATCACGTGTAAAAATATTCTTTGAATTAAGACTTCAATTTAGAATGAAATTTAAAGATAATTATAATCCATTTATTAGGAAAATAAGGGGAGATAATTTAATATCAAACATGTTTTCCATGTTAAATCCATAACAGCGATGAACCAAGAAAGAAGGAAAGTTTAAATTGAGTTTGTGTGGCCTGTCACTCACTATTTCGAGCTCGCTTTAATTGTAGAATTTCCCTTCATAGTGGATAATCAACTTCTAAAACTTATATTAATATTGGCATTAAATATTGACCTTAATGTAAAGTGTAGTGAACATAAATACAGCAGTTCCTTTACTTTATAAGTATGATGACAGTCGTTTTAGGTCATGGCTGTCTCTTTCTCTTATTAAATAATACATACACGGGTTTCTAATGATTTCTGTACCTGAAAAACCTACTTTCGCCTTTTTTATAGCATAGGGTGACAAACGAGCACACAGTCCACCTGATGGTAAGTGGTTGCTGTGGCCCATAGACATATACATCTATCCTCGTTTGCGAATCAAAATGCGGATGCGTTGTCACCCATGAGGACTTAGATGGAATGCCTCTTTTCCAGTAAAAAGGGTCTCCGGTAGAGAACCGGAGATTTAGAATAGAATTCTGTGAGAGCGTGGTCCTTCCCCGGTCGAGCCGACCCATTCGTGCTACAACTATACTACTAATATAGCTGTAGCATGGCTCTACCACGTTAAGACTGACGTCGACTAAACTTTAATGTCTTCAAGAGAAGGAGCTTCTTTTAATTTATTCGCTAATTGACTTCCTCGTTGGTTTATTGGTCGTAAACGCGACTGCTGATCATGAGGTCCCGGATACAAGTCCTTGGTCGTACAAAAAAAAATTATTAATTTTTTTTGGCGAAATTCTTAGTAGCAGCCCGGAGTCAGGAAGTTGTCGGTGTTTCACCCGCGTGCCTCGGAAAGCACGTAAAGCCGGGTCCTGCACCTGAACTCACTCCGGTCGTCTCGGTTTGCCTTCCCATGTACTATGAGAGTGAGGGAATAGAAAGTGCATGTGTGCTTGCGCATACACTCGGACACTATAGTACTCCTCTCCGCACATCACTATAGTCTCTGATAGGACGTCGTCGAAATTCGGTGTGGAGGACATTATTATATTCGCTGATTGTAAAACAATTTTACTGATTCATTGCTAAAGAATAAGCTATACAAAGAGATTCGTTTCATGTCCAGCATTGGACTATTATGGGCTGTTGAAGAAGAAAAAGAAAAAAGCAAGTTCATTCTGTGGTTTATTATTATTAAAGAAAAACTTTGTCTCTTATGAAATTCTCGTCAAACGAAATTGATCAAGTTCTCAAGATTTGCGAAAATAAAAAAGTGTTATAAAATTAAAAAATGTACTGATACGTACACACTTATACATCCTTTAAAAATATTAGTATTAAATTCCTAAAACCTAAAAACGTGAAATATTGTTGAAATGTGAAACATCAAATACCTTTCATATTTACTTCAAAATAGGAATTTAAGAAAAAACTGAAAACATCATATGTAATAATATTCTTCGGAGATACTAAAAGTATTTATTTCTACACTGATGATATGAAATGACTACACAGTATTAACGGTGACATGTCAAATGAAATGAAAGACGTGTTAGAAATACAAATTTGCATGGCTAAGGTTTTCTTGCTGTAACGTTAGTAGGTATTGATTATTATTTAGTTGCGCCTTGCGCCACCAGGCAGCGCGCGCAGTATCTGTCAAATCGAAGTTCTGTCCGGTCAAAAAATAAATATTTTTAATGACAATTATTATTTACGTCTAAATTCTATAGTTTTAATTTAAAATTAGAATATAATATTCTTACAGTTTATGTGATAGTGCAAGTTAGTGTCGAAATAACGTGTTGTAAAGCAAGGAAAGCAAAATAATGTCCATATTCACGCTAATTCAGTGAAAAGTAGGTTATTAAGGCACGACATTTTACAAGACGGTTTGTTTTTATAACCACAAAACAATAGGTGTTTTAAAAATATTGAAATAAACAAGATTAAAAATCTTTAACAAAATATGTTGTATTTATATTCGGCGACAAAGAATTTCATAGTTATTGTTAAGAAACATTAAATAAGTAAAATGAAAAACAGAAATGACGAGATGCTTACGAATATTTGGAGCGTACTCTTATCGTTTAACAAGGAAACATTCTACAATTTTACTCATAATTGGATTCATAGTCATTCTCACAATTATATTCCATTCGTATGCTTCCAGACACAGAAACAATCACCGTACCGCTTTGAAAGTAGGTGATTTTGAATATAGACCAGGTATATTTTTGAAAAATATACAACCTAATGAGAGTTCAAACTTCTGTAAGTTCCAATATGGATTGCCAAAAATGCTTAAATGGGATGCTGTGCAGATACTCCCTTCTCCAGAGAGTGGTATAAATGGACCGTACAGGGTAATTTACAACGCAATTAAAGGTACTGCATACGCAAATAAAAGTAAATACGATGCAGTAACTTATGCAACCCAGGCAACACCGGAATTCATATATCATGTCGTAGAAATTGCCCGATTTTGGGATGGACCAATAAGTCTCTCAGTTTTTGTGCCTAATTATGATCTAGATATTACAATACAGATAATGACTCAGCTCTGTCAATGCTACTCTGGCATGTCTAAAGTTTCCCTACATTTGTTTTATCCTAAACGTCATCCACCTTTAATAATACCAAAGAAACCTGTGTCGCTTTCTATAACTACTCCTGCACCTTCCACACGTGCAAACATAACACCGGAACAAATTTTGAAAAATAAAATGGCAATATACAAGAGACTAGACAATAAAACGAGGGCAGAATATATACAGTGGGTAAGAAAAAAGAAAATAGAGAGAATGATGAAGCGAATGACTAATAAAAAGACAACGTTACCAAACATAAAATTCAATGACTGTTCGGGCTTAGACAACTTCGATATAGCAACGTTTAGACGAGAAAATAATATGATATATCCCATAAATGTTGGAAGGAATACCGCTAGGAATGCTTCTGAAACAAACTATTTTATGGTATCGGATATAGAAATGGTACCTAGTGACGGTCTAGCACCAAAATTTTTAAAAATGATACGAAAATTAATGGGTGATAAAAAGAGAGATGAAGGTTGTATATTTGCAAAAACTATTTTTGTTGTTCCATTATTTGAGGTGGAAAGGGGGGAAGAAATTCCACGTGACAAAGATTCGTAAGTTTAAAAGTATTTTTAGTATCAGTTGTCATTTTCCGATTATATATTTAACGTTTTTTTAAATGATTTTCACAGAAGTAAAAGTGACAAACGAGCACAGTATTCACCTGATGGTAAGTGGATGCTGTGGCCCATAGACACTTAAAGTTACAGTTACCGTTACTGTTACATCCTTTTAAATTCTTCTGCTAAACACATGCCTCATCCATGGGTTTCCTAATTTGCAATAATTGCCACGTTTGGCTTGGTTTTATATGTGATAGAGCCATGTTGCAGCTATATTAGTATTATAGTTGTAGCACAAATGGGTCGGCTCCGGTACCGGAGAAGGACCACGCTCTCACAGAATACCAGCGTAAAATAGCAGCTTAACGCTGCTTTTTCGTATGGTGAGTGTAGAGAACCGGAGACCATTTTTACTGGAAAAGAGGTATTCCATCTTAGTCCTCACGGGTGACAACGCATTTGCATTTTGATTCGCAAACGAGGATAGATGTAGATGTCTATGGGCCACAGCAACCACTTACCATCAGGTGGACTGTGTGCTCGTTCGTCAC